AATGGAAATAATTGTGTACAGTCGTGACCTACTTTGTGGAAATTCCTTCATGTTTTCCGAAATGTTGAGATAATTTTTTTTTCAATTAAATAATCATAAAATAAATTGTTCAGATTAGCCAAATCTGATGATTTATAAATTATTTCAATATATGTGAATTACATATGAAAAGTCTGGCACTGATCAACGGACCATCTTAACTCTATCTGTGGTTGAATTACTACTGTGGTATTTTCAAAACATAATAATAAACACAAATCATGACATGAGGAACGTCCTATCTGGCCGCAACACTCTCTGGTCGCTATGGTAATGTTTAAACGTGCCTTCAAAATAAGATACGCCGCAAATACAAAGTGCATGAAAAATACGACTCACCATCGCCGCATGTTATGCAGAGTGGGCTTGGTGCGTGGGAATCTCCCGTTGAGATAAATCCGTATCTTAAGTAGGATTCCTGATATAAGTTTTTTTTTTATTAAATGAAGCCTTTTTTTATTTGGAAGTCGTAGACTCCTCTTCTGTCTCCTGGCTGGGCTCTTTCCCCTTCCCAAAGGAACTTTCCAAAGACGTTTTTTTTTTTTTTACTCATTTTGCTAGCTCTGGGGTTTCATATTAGCGGTAACCCATCACGTGACCGAGAAGCACGCCTTGAGTGACATACTGTAGACAGATATAACCGAGAATCTCGTCATCATTCGCTGCCTGTTGAAAAATGTCTTTCAGCACAGATTTAAATAACCCTTCAATTTGGTATATCATATTGGTATGCATGTGTCCCTTTACATTCCATCTCGATTAGTGATGATCATCTTTCTTCCTCTCAACGGTCTGCCGTGTCTCCCACCATTTAAGTATTTGATTCTACTGCATCCCTGCTGATGTGGTTCAATCTTATTAATTGACAGTCTGAATGGAAATAATTGTGTACAGTCGTGACCTACTTTGTGGAAATTCCTTCATGTTTTCCGAAATGTTGAGATAATTTTTTTTTCAATTAAATAATCATAAAATAAATTGTTCAGATTAGCCAAATCTGATGATTTATAAATTATTTCAATATATGTGAATTACATATGAAAAGTCTGGCACTGATCAACGGACCATCTTAACTCTATCTGTGGTTGAATTACTACTGTGGTATTTTCAAAACATAATAATAAACACAAATCATGACATGAGGAACGTCCTATCTGGCCGCAACACTCTCTGGTCGCTATGGTAATGTTTAAACGTGCCTTCAAAATAAGATACGCCGCAAATACAAAGTGCATGAAAAATACGACTCACCATCGCCGCATGTTATGCAGAGTGGGCTTGGTGCGTGGGAATCTCCCGTTGAGATAAATCCGTATCTTAAGTAGGATTCCTGATATAAGTTTTTTTTTTATTAAATGAAGCCTTTTTTTATTTGGAAGTCGTAGACTCCTCTTCTGTCTCCTGGCTGGGCTCTTTCCCCTTCCCAAAGGAACTTTCCAAAGACGTTTTTTTTTTTTTTTACTCATTTTGCTAGCTCTGGGGTTTCATATTAGCGGTAACCCATCACGTGACCGAGAAGCACGCCTTGAGTGACATACTGTAGACAGATATAACCGAGAATCTCGTCATTTTACAAAATAAAACGTTTCAGATTCCGAAATGAATATAACTTATTTAGTTATTTAGTCTTTCTGTGGGGCCCGGCACCAAATGGCCGGTCCGCGGCCCGGGGGGTTGGGGCCGCTTCTCTAAGGGATTCGCGATCAGAGACCAAAATGAAGATTTAAGATTACACACGCACACACACACACACACACACGCACGCACGCACGCACGCACGCACACACGCACACGCACACACAATGTTTCCAAAGTACCCTTTATGTATGTCACCAGTGGATTTATTCATTTTCCCCACTTAAGTTAAACCAGCCAGCTCAAGCTTTGGGTTGATAGGCCAATTATCGACTGTTAAATCTTGGATTATTGCCCCTCCGTCCCCCTCCCTGTTGGATTAGTGATGCTGTCAATTACCCTTTGGCTCTAATCCAGATCAAAGTCACATGGGCCTCAGACAATCAGTGACAGCGGTCTTTAAAGCTTTTTTTGTAAGCAATATGACCTTATCTCCACTGCTGCACTGATATTCAACTAGTTCCTCTGCAGCACCCTTTTAGGTGGCTCTTCTGTGCTTCTTTGCCATCTCTGTACAATGTGTCTTCCCTTTTGTCAAAAATGGTATTTTTTTTCATAAATTATTACAACAGAAGGTAAACACACACCAAATGTAAAGGAGATGCACTACAGGTATGTGACTGTGTAGATATACTTGTGTATTATACTCCCATAATTTCCATGCAGTAGTTACTAGACATTCACGTTTACAAATGTCCTCTACAGGGGACAAATTTGAACTCCCGGTAGTCAGGAGATTCATTAATCATCCGATTATGGCCATTCTAAAATTGGCAAACTGGAAGATGTTTGCCGATTGTTTCTAAAATGGACAAATTGGCATCCATCAGTGATGAACTGAGAGGTCCATCGCTACTTAACTTATAAGTGACAATTATACTGACAGATAAAAAGCCACTTCTGTCAGTCAGTGCTTCGTCCATCATTTTTAGTCAAGTTTCCTGTCATTTGTCAGCAAAACGGGCATCCATCATTGACTTTGCCTTTCTGTACTATTTCAGAGTCTACGTCAGTCTTGTGTACTGATTAGCTAGCTAAAAGCTAATCAGTTATGAATTGTCACAGACATTCAAATGAATATGTAAAAAACCGCAGTGACACAAAAAGCTCTTATTTTTTCATAATTCTAACTGTTGCTTTTTCATTTGTTCCTGCTTGTATTTTGTGTGTGAGCGAGATTGGTATAGCTGTGCATTTGATTTCATGAAACCATGGCCGCGGATGGTATGGTAAGCAATCTTTTCGGCCATGATGTTTACTTGCTATGGTGGGAACATATTCATTCTAATTCATGGTGATTCCGAGCGGCCCGGTGGTGAGCGTTGACCTCACAGTGCAGAGGTCGTGGGTTCGATGTGTGGAGTTTGCATGATCTCGCCGTGCCTGTGTGGGTTTTCTCCGGGCACTCCGGTTTCCTCTCATAATCCAAAAACATGCATGGTGGGTTAATGGACCACACCAAATTGTCCCGAGGTGTGAGTGTGAGCGCGGATGGTTGTTCGTCTCTGTGTGCCCTACGATTGGCTCGCAACATTACACATTAAATATCATATTTTTCTCAACCCGTTGGTACAAACGATGTGACTTTTTTTTTCTGTAAACCTATGTATCACCCATCCCTCTCTAGATTTTTGTGCATTTTTTTGGGCGCAAAATGTTTTATGGTATGTATGCATGAATAATATCAACTATACATATTTTTTTCTTTCATTAATGTCACGTTTGCAAGGTGGTGGTGGACCCCAAAAAGCAGGCAAGAGGGAGGAGCAGGGTGTACTTGACGATAGTGATGTGCCCGACTGTGCCGAGGTACCGATGCGTGTGCCGAGTAAACCGGAAGAAAATCCGCGAAGCGCGCACTGAGGCGCGTGTCGATTACGCTTGTGGCCACGCCCGATACCTCGGAACGCGCGTTGCTCCGCCCGAAGCCTCACGGGACGGGATTCCTACGTCACCGCCCACAAATAGTTTCGCGGGTGAATCGAAATAAATTCGGCGCACCGGGACGATAATGAGCTCACAGGTGACGCTGACACTCAACTCGCATCTCCAAACCTCAACTCATTCCGATTCATTTTACAATGAACAACATTACAATTTGTGTGGCGCACACATTAAATCTGATCGTGAAGAAGGCTCTGGCAGAAAACACTGAGCTGTCTGAAAACTTTTTCCAAAGAACTTGGGTACCAAGAGAGCACGTCGTCTTTGTTGAGGCATTATAGGGCCCTGCATGAAAATAAGGAGACAACTCAAACAGAACCACCCCCAGGTAAGGCATTTTAACATGCAATGAAAGAACAGCATAGCCTACCATGTGTATTTCAAATGTGACAGATGAAATGAATGACATCTATCACTAACTCTGTCTCTGTTAAACTGCAGTGAATAAGAATGCAGTGGAAGAGGCATTAATCAATATGGTGATTGAAGATTGCCAGCCCTTCAGTTTTGTGGAGGACACAGGGTTCAGGAAGCTTATCCAACTTTCGACCCTACATATGTTCTCCCCACCAGGCGGGTGTGTGAGAGCACATGAATCATTTTTCCCCATTCCCCCATAAGTGCTCTTCCAATAGTGTTCTTTCTCATTTCCTTTAGACTTTGAAAGCCATGGTGGCGGAGAGGTACCAGCAGGCAAAAGAGAAGGCCCAAGACCTCATAGCAAAGTCCTCTGCTGTGAGCATAACAGCAGATATGTGGACCAGCATCAACACAGATGCATATCTGGCAGTCACCTGTCATTTCATTGATGAGCACACCTCTCTGCACTCAGCTGTGTTAGGTGTGCTCCATTTCCCTGACCACCATACAGCTGAGAACATGGCTTCCGTTCAATCGGCACTCATGGCACAATGGGGCATTTCCACCAAGGTAACTTGCCTTGTGACAGATGGTGCAGCCAACATGGCTGCATGTGCCAGAGACCTTCATCTGCACCACACAATTTGTGTGGCGCACACATTAAATCTGATCGTGAAGAAGGCTCTGGCAGAAAACACTGAGCTGTCTGAGATCCGTCTTCAGTGTAGGAGGATAGTTGGCTACTTCAAAAGCAGTACCACTGCAAAGGTGAATTCCTTTATTACACAGCAGTATTCAAATTAATGCAAAATGACTTGAATAATGTTTTGTTTCATATTTAATTTTTATAGACAAGGCTGACACAGGTGCAGGAGCAAATGATGCCTACAGAGCCTGTGCTGAAGCTCATTCAAGAGGTAAGTTGACATCCATAACTGCTTCCACTCCCCTTTCAAACAATAATGACCTTTTATTTTCAGGTGGAGACACGCTGAAACAGCCCCTTCCACATGTTGCAACGGATGTACAACCTCAGGGAAGCCGTAGGAGCAGCCCTGGCAGGCCTCCACACTGACATTGCCCCACTCACATCCCATCAGATGAGGCTCATGTCTGAGAGTCTGCAGGTCCTCTCCCCATTTAATGATGCCACCGTAGAGCTCTCAGAGGAGAAGAGAGTGTCTGGATCCAAGGTCATACCACTTCTGGCCATGCTGCACCACACCTTGGAGGATGACATAGGAACCATAAAAATGGAGGAGAGCAAAGCAATGGCTGAGGGCCTTAAAAAACAACTGAGGGACAAGCTCTACACCCTCCAAACCATGAGCATCATGTCACTGGCAACACTGCTGGATCCCAGGTTTGTATCGGTTGTCTGTTTTTCTCATCTGTCTACTCGCACCAACAAATGAGCAAGTGCCTCTTGATGAACAGTTCACAACTGCAATGAGTCTCATTGTCGTTCGCAGGTTCAAGAAGATAGGCTTCTTCAGCCCAAATAAAGCACAAGAGGCTGAGAGGAGGCTCACAGCTGAATGTGCGACAGTGATCCGGCACAGGGCATCTTCCTCCTCCACCTCCTCCTCCAACCCATCATCTGCAACACAACCGGACACATCAGAAGCTTCCCAGCCTGTTGCGCAAGGTAATATTCGATACATTCTAATGGTGTTAATTAAGCAATAGGAAATGAGCGGCAGTGCATTATTGTGGGATTCTTTTGCCCCCATCTCTACGATGGGCAGCCGGAACTGCCTGTTGGCTGTTTGTCTGTTGTGCCTTAGGTAACAAGCTGTGGTGGCGACTGGACCACACAGTCATGCAGAGGAGGACCCAGAATGAGACCGCAGATGCGACTGTGGAGGTCCACACTTACCTGGGCGAACCCAACATAAGCAGGATGTCAAACCCCCTGGACTACTGGGAGCTGCACAGACATGTCTACCCAAACCTCTACAAATTAGCTATAACCTCTCTCTGTACCCCAGCCTCATCCGTCCCTTGTGAAAGAGTATTTTCAAAAGCAGGAGAAATACTATCAAAAAAAAAGAAACCGTTTAAAGCCAAACACTTTGGAAAAGCTTGTTTTCCTCAATAAAAATGAATGAAAGGTGTATCTTGTTCCTTGTTTATGTCAATGTCTAAAATAAAGCAATCGTTCTTTCAATTAACACACGCACATTCATTCACATCACAACTCCCTGCCCTCTTGACCCCATCAAATCCATGGTATTTTCATCACTGTCTGTCATGACATTTATTTTCCACATGATGGCGCAATAGAACAAATGGAGCCTCATGATGCATCGGCCCAGGACCGACCCAGTTGGATGGAAAGCCTCATTGCTTCATGAGGCTTCAGATTCCCATCACTACTTGACGAGTTGTATTGAAACACAGAGAAAACTAAATCTTAAACAAAACAAAGTCCAAAGTATCACAAGGAATCCAAAGTACCAAACCAAAACTGAAGCAAAAAAACTAGAACAGAACCATGACAGAAACAAACATGACAGCTGCAACAAACAAACAGCAACACACACAATGACCCGACAATGCGTGGTCGGGCGGGAGTCCTTTTATACTACTAATTACATAACGACCAACAGGTGTGCAGCTGCAGGGGGAGCCCTACAGTGCCACCTGTTGGTCACAAACAGAATCATGACAATTAAAAAGCATACTGTACATGTCACAAACAAAAAACAGGGCTTACAGCAGTGTTCTAAGTGTCAAAAATGCTCTTTTATCAATTTTGTAACATGTCAAATATTCTTACATCTTATGTTGCTTTTCATTGAGGTGCTCAATTCATTTACGAACTTGAAAATCCATTTTACACTTCTTGAATTTAACTGCAGCAACTTTAAAGAGATCTGGGTTCTGTACATATTCTAAAATGAGCAAATATCTATTTTTGTATCACAAAAAAATCTTGGAACACATTGTTTACATACATTTCAAATACTACAAGAAAAACTACGATAGAAGTAATCCATTCGTATATCCGAGTATCTAAATTTTAACCTAACAGCTGAAGAATCTTAACAATGCAGCAATGCCGAGATTGCTTGATATCTCTCCAATTTGGCCAAATCTAATTTAATAAATCACCCAACGTCATATTTATTTCACAGTTTAATGAATTAGTGTTGGCGCAGGGTCCTCACCCACTGAATTATAGTAAAAATAGTAAGTCAGGACAGAGCGTTGGACATATTTAATTACCACCTCGTATTATAATGTTACCTCGAGGTGGAAATTTCATTACCCCAATCACACCTTTGGATCCACATCCTGAAGCCATGTTTTCTGACAGCGTATGTCAGCATGAAAACTCTGCACACCTCTGATCAAATACGTTTTGTGATATAAAACATTTCAACTCAATTGAAAAGAAATATAGCGTTTTACAGAGGGGATGTAATACATAAACAACTGAGGTGAGGTTGCACAAATGTGCACGCTCTTACTCAATCAGCACATATGTGCCACAATTTAAAATGCCCAAACCCGGAATAGTTGTCTTGTCTACTTGTCCACAGCGGAGCAAAATGAGTATAGCTATCACTTGCTTGTACTCCTCCAGTTTATTAAAAATAAAAAAGATCATAGATTAAGGCATAGGTATGTTTTTGCCGGGGCATATTTCTGTCAGTAAAACGGGTGTGGACTGAGAGGGTCTGTTGGTTCTTGACCCGGTAAATGACGACTACACTGATGGACGAAAACCCCGCCTCCATCAGTGCTTAGTCCATCACCTTTAAGTTTCCCATCATTTGTCAACAAAACGGGCGTTGGTCAGTGATGGAATGACAGACCTTCCATTGGTACTGACGGAATGCCCACCTGTTTCCTGGTGATGCGTCCATGAAGATGAAATTAGGACTGTGTTGTTCACGTCGGGGCACAATCACTGGATTAATTATGTGATTCAGGTACTAATATGCGCTGTACCATTCACAAAGAGTGGGGCAGTTCTGTACCGAGTGGACACCGTTGCCCACACTGTAACACCGCCATCACCAAAAGCTAGTCAGGGGACAACAGTGGCTGATGCATAGCGCACTCCTTGACGTCTCCAACATCGTTGGCGGCCAACAGTTCGGCTCAGCGTGAATCGCCTTTCATCAGAGAACAGCACTGAGGCCCATTGGTCCCTCGTCCTGTTGGAGAGGAATATTCCAGGATCCATCAATTTGTAGGGATATCCCTACTCAGGACTAAAAGGATTTTTCATTTGTTCTGTGTCAAGGGCAACTCAGAGAGCAAATGTTTTTTTTTGTCAGATTTAAATGTCCGGTATAACAATGCCGGCGACACGATGATCGACTGGTTAGCATGTCCGCCTCACAGTGCGGAGGTGCAGGGTTCGATTCTGGCTCCAGCCTTCCTGCGTGCAGTTTGCATGTTCTCCCTGTGCCTGCGTGGATTTTCTGCGGGTACTCTGGTTTCCTCCCACATTTCAAAAACATGCATCGTAGGCTCATTGATTATTCTAAATTGTCCTTGATTGTCGGTGTGAATGGTTGTTCGTTTCCGTGTGCCCTGGAATTTGCTGGCAACCAGTTCAGGGTGTCCCCCGCCTACTGTCTGAAGACAACTGGGATAGGCTCGTGACCCTTGTGAGGATAAGCGGTTCAGATAATGGATGGATGATATAACAATGCATTTTTTGTACTTTTCAGGTGTAAATAGTATTATTATATTGGGGATGAATATTTTTCCATCATTGTGCAAAGAGAAATGTGGATTTTTCACCAAATATGTAGGTCAGTTGTATGGAAATTACACTTTCTTCATTATACTGTGAGTTTCTCCCTTGAGCAAAATGAGCGATGCTCCAAAACTTGCAATAATATGGCCATCAAATTAACCCCATAATTGTATTTATTAAGTTACTTTGTAGATCGGTGAGGTTCAAGGATCATTGATGGATTTTTGGTGTAAGGTTGAGTGAATTTCAATTAAATTCCGCTGGTTTCAATTTAATTGTGCATATGGAAGGGGAAAAAAATTAATCTGTGCAATTTATAATTATAATTTATTATTCCTCAATTTTCCCCTATTTGTCCTATTGTGTAGAGTTGTGGGGAACCTAAAAATAAATGCAATTGTGGTTTTGCAAAAAAAAAAAAAAAAAGTCTTTTTTTTAAAGATTTTATTTTCTGAACATCAAACCTTATGAAGTTAAAAGACCTATGCAAATATAAAATTGCATTAAATAATGTTAAGAGCAAAAACACAATCTGTTCCTTCATACAAAATTTCTCTCACTCGAAAATCTCATTATGATACGACAGGTGTTTATGGCAGGGTTCGTGGGGATGAGAAAAGAACCCAAATGATAGGGAAAGGCAGGTTAGCATTCAAAAATTGCTTATTTGAATGGCCAGCGCAACTTGGGATGGAGCGAAGTTCAGACGGGGTGGCAAGTGGTCCACAGGTGGGGGGCTCAAGTTGGCAAGCAGGCACACAGTCAAGGGTCACAAAGACGATGGCAACGAGTGATCTGTAGTCAGAGAGTAAGATCATTAAAAATATATACTCATGGTTGGTTTCAGCAATAAAGGGCTAGCTAATCAGCTATGAACTTCTTTTAAGAGGGTAGAAAATCTGCCAATGGGTTGGAGTCCCAAAGCGTCTTAACAGTCATACAAAGCAGAAGCAAAACCTGAAAGCCTGTTTTTGTGTCTGTTTTTGTTCTTTGTTTCTTCTCTTACAAATGTAACATATTTAGGTTTTTGATGTGTTGGGAGTTGTGAGCAGCTGAGTCCCATCGCTCCGATTACTGGTGCTACTTAATTGTGTGTATTGTGGAATACATTTGTGTATGGAGAATGAACAAACAAAAACTCACATATTCACTGGATTAATAATTGTGTGGAGAAACTGCCAGGGGATAATCAAATATTAAAAAAACATTCGGGTGCCTGGTGAGAGAGTGGTTAGCGCGTCGACCTCACAGTGCAGAGGTGCAAGGTTCGATTCCGGCTCTGGCTTCCCTGTGTGGAGTTTGCATATTCTCTCCGTTCCTGCATGGGTTTTCTCCGGGTACGCCGGTTTCCTCCCACATTCCAAAAACATGCATGGCAGGTTGATTGGGCACTCCGAATTGTCCCTCGGTGTGAGTGTGAGCTAGAATGGTTGTTCGTCTCTGTGTGCCTTGCGATTGGCTGGCAACCAGTTCAGGGTGTCCCCCGCCGACTGCCCGAAGACAGCTGGGATAGGCTCCACAACCCCCCTTTGTGAGGATGAAACGGATCAGAAAATTGATCGATGGAGCACCCTTAGTGAGGATGAAACGGATCAGAAAATTGATCGATGGACTCTGGTGCTCAAAAAAATATACTAAATGCAATAGGGATACTATAAAGCAGGTTTGAGCATTCCGTCAGTGTTGATGGAAGGTCCGTAAGTCATTGGCGCATGATCTTTTTGTTGATGAACGACAAATGACGTAACCAAAAAAATAAAAGTCGAACCAAGCACTGGCAGAAATGGATTTTTGTCCATCAGTTTAATTGTCACTAATTGAGACAAGTAATGACTGACAACTGAAATAAACAATCTCTGCCTGATGATAGACGGACTGGCGGGCCGGTGAAATTTAGTGACTGAGGCAATAACAAAAGTGCGGTAAAAATAACAAGTTGAATTCACCGAGTGACGATTACAGTTTGATTTGGCTTGAAAAAAAATGATGGAGTGATGATGCTCAGGCCGCTGATGGATGACAAATGACGGACTTGCAACATTTTGTAAAATTGCCCACCTTTTCAAATG